TGCGGCCCCGCCCTGCAGCTGCCACGACCCCGACCTGCCGCTGACGCGGCCCCACCCTGCTACTGCCGCTGACGCGGCAGCGCCCTCCAGCTGTTTCGGCCCTGCTCTGCAGCCGGTTTTGCGGCCCCGACGTCGCCGCTGTCGTGCGCCTACTCGAGCGCCGGCCCTGCTCTCCCAGCCTTTGGTGAGCGCCTGCCTGCCTGCCTGACGGCCTGCCTGTCTGCCTGCCTGCCTGCCGGCCTGGCTGCCTGCCTGCCTGCCGGCCTGCCTGCCTGCCTGCCTGTCTGCCTGCGTGTCTACTTGCCTGCCTGCCTGCCTGCCTACCTGCCTGCCTGTCTGCCTGCCTGCCTGCCTGCCTGGCTGCCTGCCTACCTGCCGGCCTGCCTGCCTGCCTGCTTGCCTGCCTGCTTGCTTGCCTGCCTGCCGCGCCTGCCTTTCCTGCGCTACTGCTACTGGCAGGTGGCCAGATGCAGCTCCAGCGACATTCACGCGAGCCTCTGACGCCTCAGCAGCTTAGTGAGTGGTATACTAGCTGGGGTTGTCGCGGTAGCCGTCGTAGCTGTCGCCCTGGAGCTGGTCAGTTGGGAGCGTCTGGCAGTGGCCAGCTGCAGCTGCAGGGACGTCCACGTGAGACACTTACGCCCCGGCAGCTCCAGGAGTGGTACGCTCAGTGTAGCAGGTCTACGCGTACAGTCCGCTGCCCGTACGTCATTCGCACAGGTGCTAGGACTGGTCAGCCTTGTGGGACGCTTGGTCACACACAGTCCCGCTGCTTCGCCCGTCTGAGCGACGACTGGCGCACAGTGTTTGGCGACGAGGCTGAGCTCCCCACCTGGCTGGAGCTGCATAGACAGAGGGTAGATATCTTTGCGCTTGACTATGATGCTATTCTCACTGCCATGTATGCATTGTCTACTAGTGCTGACCGTGCCTGTTGCCTGTGCGTACCGCCTGACCCTGGTGAGGCTGCTGCCCTAGGTGCTAGTGCGTCTCCTGCTCTAGGTGCTGGTGAGGCTGCTGCTCTCGGTGCTAGTACGTCTACTGCTCTAGGTACTGGTGAGGCCGTGGCATCAGGTGCTGCTGTGTCTGCTCTCTCTGGTACTGCGCCCACTGCGGTCTCGCACACCTTCACCCTTGACTCAGGAGCTTCCCGCTCCTTCTTTCGCGACTGCACCGCACTTACGCCGCTCCGTCGGCCAGTCCCGGTCTCCCTGGCGGACCCCTCTGGGGGTCCAGTCCTTGCCCACTATTCCACGGTTCTGCCGTGTCCGGCCGTCCCGTCCGGCTCGCTGTCAGGTCTTTACCTCCCCTCGTTCTCTACGAACTTGGTGAGTGGAGCTGACCTCCAGGATGGGGGGGTTGACCAGTTCACTCCTGCGAGTCAGCGAGTGACTCACTGTACGTGTGCTAGGACGGGCCGGCACTTGGCCACGTTCACCCGTGCACCTGGCTCGAGTCTGTACACACTGACCACTGAGTCCCCTCAGGTAGCTGCGTCTGCGTCTGCGTTTGCGTCTGCGTCTGGTCAGCTGGCGGCCCCCTGCGAGTGTCGCGCTTTGTCGCACGACACTCTCCTGTGGCACCACCGCCTTGGTCACCCCTCCTTGCCTCGCCTGCGTAGCATGCACTCTCGCTCCCTGGTCTCTGGTCTTCCCAGGTCCCTGCCTGCCCTCCCTCCCTCGCCTGCGCCGCCCTGCATTCCTTGCGTCGAGGGGCGGCAGCGCGCCGCTCCTCACTCCTCCTCGTTTCCTCCCACAGAGGCTCCACTGCAGACGCTCCATCTGGACGTGTGGGGCCCAGCCCGCGTCCAGGGACAGGGCCGCGAGCGGTACTTCCTGCTGGTCGTCGACGACTACACGCGTTACACCACGGTCTTCCCCTTGCAGAGCAAGGGGGACGTCCCTGCTGTTTTGATCCCCTGGATCCGCGCTGTTCGTCTCCAGCTCCGCGAGCGGTTCCGGTCGGACTTTCCTGTCCTGCGTCTGCACTCTGACAGAGGTGGTGAGTTCTCCTCCGACCTCTTGGCAGCCTACTGTGCGGAGCACGGCATCACCCAGTCGTTCACGCTTCCGGCCTCTCCGCAGCAGAATGGGGTTGCTGAGCGCCGCATTGGCTTAGTCATGGAGGTCGCTCGTACCTCCATGATCCATGCGGCTGCCCCCCATTTTCTGTGGCCGTTTGCGGTCCGGTACGCCGCGCATCAGCTCAACCTCTGGCCCCGTGTCTCCTTGCCGGAGACCTCGCCCACACTGCTGTGGACGGGGAAGGTTGGCGATGCGTCGCGTTTCCGGGTCTGGGGTGCTCGTGCCTTTGTCCGCGATACCACCGCGGACAAGCTCTCCGCCCGCGCTGTTCCCTGTGTCTTCCTTGGCTTTGTCCCTGACGCGCCTGGTTGGCAGTTTTACCACCCCACCTCGCGCCGTGTCTTTGCGTCTCAGGACGTCACGTTCGACGAGTCGGTTCCCTTTTACCGTCTCTTCCCCTACCGCACTGCCTCGCTCCCCCCCCCGCCGCTCTTCCTTGCTCCAGGTGCTCCCCAGGTAGACCCCCTCCCCGCTCCCGGTCCTGCTCCTTCAGGTGTTTCTCAAGTAACCCTCCTCCCTTGACTGCGCCGGTTGAGGTCACTGGTGACTCAGGTCCTCCTGCGAGTGGTCCTGCTCGGGGTGCTGAGCCTGGGGGTGCGGAGCCTGGGGGTGCTGAGTCTGGGGGTACTGAGCCTGAGGGTGCGGAGCTTGAGGGTGTAGAGCCTGGTGGTGCTGAGCCTGCGTGTGAGGGGTCTGGGGGTGCTGAGCTTGGCGGTACTGACGCTGGAGGTTCTGGAGCTACTGAGGGTGCTGGCGCTGGAGGTTCAGGAGCTGCTGGAGGGCCTAGTCCTGGTGGCGCTGGAGCTGGAGGTCCTGGAGCTGTTGAGGGTGCTCGCGCTGGAGGTTCTGGAGTCGCTGGAGGTACTGGTGCTGAGGGTACTGACACCGGAGGTTCTGGAGCCGTTGGGGGTGCGGGCGCTGAGGGTTCTGAGTCTGCTGTTGCGCGGTCTCCTTGGAGTGGCCGCCTTCGTCCCCGTGTGCCTCTCACCCCACAGCAGCTGCAGGACTGGTACGGTCGCCGTCAGCGTCGCGCTGCTGGAGCTCGGAGTCGTGCTGGTCCTTTGTCTACTGGAGGTGCTGGAGTTGCTGGTTCTGGAGGGGCTCGTGCTGGAGACACTGAGGCTGGAGACCCTTGGACTGGAGGTGCTGGCTCTGGGGGTGCTGCTGCTGGAGACGCTGAGGTTGGAGACCCTGGAGCTGGAGGTGCTGGTTCTGGGGGTGCTACTGCTGGAGACCCTGCGGTTGGAGACCCTGGGACTGGAGGTGCTGGTTCTGGGGGTGCTGCTGCTGGAGACACAGAGGTTGGAGACCCTGGGACTCGAGGTGTCGGCTCTGGGCCTGGAGCTTCTGGAGCTGCTGGAGGTACTGGAGCTGCTGGAGGTACTGGAGGTACTGAAAACAAGGTACGAAAAATTTTACCCTAGGGGTCTGTTCCAGGAGGGCCTGGTACCCTGATTTGGAAGAGTAGGCCTAAACCAATTTTGGGCCCTGTCTTGGATGCTCTGGAACTTTTTCCAGGAGAAGCGACGACGACCAAATGATCTCTATAAACACGATGTTGGTGCTGGAAGCAAGCTCTTGCTGCGTAGGTTCCGAATCTGTACTCAGATATTAAAACTGATGCATGGAAGGTTGACATTGATGGCGTTAAGTCGCTGCCAGGAGCCATGGCGGAGAGCATTGAGAAATAACAATCAACAAGTTCAATGGGGTCGGAGATGGCAATGGGGTCGCCCACCATCACTGCCACCTGGGAGAGGAACACAGGGACAAGAGAGTAGGGGAATGAGAGGAGGGCGGATGGGAGAAGCGGGATGCGTTTGTGAAGCAGGTGACACCCATGCCCATCGGCCGGCCACCATCACTGCCACCTGTAAGATGAGCGCAGGGGCGATGGAGGGGAGGGGAGGGGAGGGGAGGGGAGGGGAGGGGAGGGGAGGGGAGGGGAGGGGAGGGGAGGGGAGGGGAGGGGAGGGGAGGCCGGAAACCTCGACTTCGTGGTGGTACCCCGGGAAAGGAAATCGCAAACACATTTTGCCTCCTCCCTGACCCCAAAAACCTTCAGCGCCACATGCAGCTTTTTAATAACTCCGTCCACCTCCGGACACGTCATGAGGCAGTGATCGGTGGTCTCTTCTCCCCCACAGTGCCGGCACCGTGCCAGGTCGCCCAAGAAGGGAAGCCTGGCGCCCACTTGCAGGTTCCTGCTGTGAAGTCTGAGAAGCATCTGCCTTGCTCTGGAGGGGACCACCATTGAGTCCCGTGTACCAATAATTCCCGTCCAATCAACCGGCCTCCCAAGCTCCTCTGCCCATCTGACCTGCTGCATCGGTTTCTCAGCAGCCACTCCAATTGCTCTCCTTAGGGTTCTCAGTGCTACCACCTCCCCTCCTTTGCAGAGCCACGATTCCCGTAGTCTGGCAGTCCATACCCCTCCCATCATTCCCACCACCCACCAATCCTTCCGTCCCAGCCATCGGCGCGACCAACCACACGCTCTTCCACGCCTTGCACACTTTGGCCACACGACCCTCCACTGCCAACCACTCCTCCCCCGCCAAACCCCCTTCCATCAGAGCGGCCTCCTCAAGCAATAGGGGCTCTCTCCCCCCTTCAAGTAGTTGCCGTTCACGTGCCAGCAGGGTGGCGTGCAGGCGCTGCAGGTGCGCCCCTATGCGCGCACTGACGGCGTCCAGCAGGGCGAAGGGAGGAGGGGGGTGTGGCGAGGGGGGTGAGGGTGGATGGGAGGTGTGTTGGTGTGTGGGGTTGGTGTGCTGCTCTAACTGTGTGAGCTGTGGAGGTGCTGCTGCAGCTGCTGGAGCTGCAGATGGTCATGGTGATTGTGAGGGTGGTGATGCTGCTGCGGATGGCGGTAGGAGTGCAGCCGATCGGAGATGTCAATGGGGTCGCCCACAATCAGTGCCACCTGGGAGAAGTGCGGGCAGGGACGAGGGAGTAGAGGAGGGATGGCAGGGGAGCGGAAGGAAGGGGAGAGGAGGGGAGGATGTTGGTGGAGGGGAGGATGTTGGTGGAGGGGAGGATGTTGGTGGAGGGGAGGATGTTGGTGGAGGGGAGGATGTTGGTGGAGGGGAGGATGTTGGTGGAGGGGAGGATGTTGGTGGAGGGGAGGAAGTTGGTGGAGGGGAGGATGTTGGTGGAGGGGAGGATGTTGGTGGAGGGGAGGATGTTGGTGGAGGGGAGGATGTTGGTGGAGGGGAGGATGTTGGTGGAGGGGAGGATGTTGGTGGAGGGGAGGATGTTGGTGGAGGGGAGGATGTTGGTGGAGGGGAGGAAGTTGGTGGAGGGGAGGATGTTGGTGGAGGGGAGGATGTTGGTGGAGGGGAGGATGTTGGTGGAGGGGAGGATGTTGGTGGAGGGGAGGATGTTGGTGGAGGGGAGGATGTTGGTGGAGGGGAGGATGTTGGTGGAGGGGAGGATGTTGGTGGAGGGGAGGATGTTGGTGGAGGGGAGGCTGTTGGTGGAGGGGAGGATGTTGGTGGAGGGGAGGATGTTGGTGGAGGGGAGGATGTTGGTGGTGGTAAGAATGCAGCAGGTGGGATCGGAGATGTGGATGGAGTCTCTGTCACCTGCGATAGGAGGGCAGGAAGGGCAAGGGAGGATGCTGCTGCTGATGGTGTGGATGACGGTATGCATGCAGCACATCCCATATGGCATGCAGCACATCCCATATGGCATGCAGCACATCCCATATGGCATGCAGCACATCCCATATGGCATGCAGCACATCCCATATGGCATGCAGCACATCCCATATGGCATGCAGCACATCCCATATGGCATGCAGCACATCCCATATGGCATGCAGCACATCCCATATGGCATGCAGCACATCCCATATGGCATGCAGCACATCCCATATGGCATGCAGCACATCCCATATGGCATGCAGCACATCCCATATGGCATGCAGCACATCCCATATGGCATGCAGCACATCCCATATGGCATGCAGCACATCCCATATGGCATGCAGCACATCCCATATGGCATGCAGCACATCCCATATGGCATGCAGCACATCCTATTCCAGCCGCCATTCCCATTCCCAGCCACCATTCCCATTCCCAGCCGCCATTCCCATTCCCAGCCACCATTCCCATTCCCAGCCGCCATTCCCATTCCCAGCCGCCATCCCCATTCCCAATCCCAGCCACGCAGGGCAGATCACCCTACCTGGTACAGCGGGCGGTGCAGCCGCCCCCGCCCCCGCGCGTGCCGCACGCTCGTCCCTAAAGCGGAGGTTCATGAGCGCACAGCCAGGCAGGGGGCGGTCGGCCCAGAGGGAGAAGCGCCACACGAGCACGTCCAGCAGCAGCTCTAGCTCCGCCTCACACCGCGCCACCCACGCCGCCTGCCATGCAGGCGGCAGTGATGGTGCAGACCCAAGATGTCATGCACCATCACTGCAGACCCAAGATGCCATGCACCATCACTGCCACTTGCGAGGAGAGAGGGGAGGGCGAGAGAGGTGAGAGAGGAAGGAGAGGATGGTGGAAGGGAGGAGTAAGACGCGTGTGTGTTTGGAGGATGTGACGCCCACCTGAGGTATCCATCAGGTCGCCCACCTGAGGTATCCATCAGGTCGCCCACCTGAGGTATCCATCAGGTCGCCCACCTGAGGTATCCATCAGGTCGCCCACCTGAGGTATCCATCAGGTCGCCCACCCTCCCTGCCAGCTGGGAAGGCACGGAGGCGAGAGGAGGAAGGGGGGAAGGTGGCGGGAGTCGGAGGGTGGGGAGGGGAGGGGAGGGGAGGGGAGGGTAGGTGCAAGAGGTATAAATATCAGTGAAAGATAGGTAATCGGTAGAGCGCATGGATGGGCATGGATGGGCATGGATGGGCATGGATGGGCATGGATGGGCATGGATAGGCATGGATAGGCATGGATGGGAAAGCCGGCTTTACCCGTTGGCCTACGGCCGGCAGCGTTTGTCCTCTAGCTTGCACGCGGTGCATGCCGACATGCACCACCGGGATGACGAGGGGCGGCACTGCGCTGCCAGCCTGGGGAAGCCATAGGGGTGGGGAGGGAGGGGTGGGGAGGAACGGCGGGAAGAGATCATTTGGGGGGACATGAGGTGGGGTCATGGGTTCGGGGGGGGTGGGGGTGTGAATACCCAGCAGCATCACATCGCACATGCACGATCCCACTTGCTCTCATTCCATCGTCTCCCCCCTTCCCCTTTCCCCCCTGCCCCTCGTGTCCGCTCCCCTCCTCTCACCACGCCATGTGACCCAAAAGTGTGCCCGCCATCCAGCGAGACAGTGCCTTCCGGGGTGGGCGCAGTGGAGTGGAGTGGAGTGGAGTGGAGTGGAGTGGAGTGGAGTGGAGTGGAGTGGAGTGGAGTGGAGTGGAGTGGAGGCGAGTGGAGTGGAGGCGAGTGGAGTGGAGGCGAGCGTCTCTAAGATATGCACCCACGCGCCTCGTTCTCCCAACCCAACCTCATCCACGCGTTGTGCCGCTGCTACCATGCCCTGCAGGGGATGGGGGTAGTGGAGGGGGGAGAGAGCGATAGAGGAAGCGAGAGCTCTGAAATGGTTCTAAGATATGCACCCACCCGACCTCACCCGAGCGAGATTACTTATGAGTCAACTCACAAGTCAAGAGTTATGAGATGACTCTAAGATATGCACCCACCCACCCTGACCCAAGGGCTGCGCTGCTGCCCGCGTGTCCAGAGGGAATGGGTGGGATGGGGAGGGACATCAAATTGCAGGGCAGCAGATGAGGTGAAATGAATTGGCAAGGTAGTTGACTCATGGCGATGCCCTCCCTCTCACACAACCCTCGGCCCCCACCCCCCTCGCCTCCTCCCCTCTCACTGCATCCCACCTCCATTCTCTTGATCCGGAGAAGCACGAGCACTAGCAGGCAAGCACACAAGGGGGGGGGACAGCAGGGTATTGTGAAAGATTTTAAAATGCGGTTGAGTGCGGTTGAGGCCGTGCGTGAAGGCATGTGACATGGCGCGTTTGTCCTGTGCCGTGCTCGGCCGTCCAGGGGGGTAAGGTTGGGGTGATGGGGAAGGTTGGGGTGATGGGGAAGGTTGGGGTGATGGGGAAGGTTGGGGTGATGGGGAAGGTTGGAGCGGAGGTGATGGAGGATGAGGAGGGGGGTCAGTGCGCACTGCGCTGCCAGCCTGGGGGCACCATTTGGGGGGAGAGGGGGGTGCTCGGATGGGGAAGGTTAGGGTGGCGGGGTGGACGTGAAGGATGATGAGGCGCGGCACTGTGCACTGCGCCGCCAGCCTGGGGGATGCATGGAGGGGGAAGGGGGGGGGGATGGGGAGAGAGGACAGGGGGGGGGGGGGGGAGGGGGTTGTCTGGGGAGGAGAGGCGGATCGGAGGGAAGGGGGAATGGGTGGGGGACTTATTGAGTGGCGGCACTGTGTGCCGGCAGCCTGGGAATTGCGGATGGGGGGTAAACCATGGTGGGGGACCTTGGCGGGTGGTCATGGGGTGGGGGGATTGATGGGTGGGGGTGATGAGTGGGAAGGGAAGAAGGTGAAGAGCAGCAAGGTTTGACTAATGATTGAAGGCAATTCGAAAATTGAAAACGCCAAATGCACTGATACCTGGGAGTGCACCACTACATGCGCCCTTATTCCATCGCACCACTACATGCGCCCTTATTCCATCGCACCACTACATGCGCCCTTATTCCATCGCACCACTACATGCGCCCTTATTCCATCGCACCACTACATGCGCCCTTATTCCATCGCACCACTACATGCGCCCTTATTCCATCGCACCACCCATAACCCACCCTCGCCCTTGACCCACTTTCAGAACCCTGCCCCATCCCCACCCCCACTTCTCCCCCCCCCCCCCCCCAACGCCCACCTCCACCCTCCCCTTCCCCACATCCACACTTCACCATCTCGCACCCCCTTACCCCCACTCCACCCTCCCCCCATCTCCTCACCACGCCACGCCTCTGCGCATGGGGCCAACAGTGCGGCCGCCATCCAGCGAGCGAGTGCCCTCCGGGAAGATGTGCACCCACCCGCCCTCGCCCAGCCGCTGTGCTGCTGCCACCATGCCCTGCAATGGGAGAGGGGTGGGAAAGGGGCTGACACGTCTTTAAGATGTGCACCCACCCACCCACTCTCATCCATCCAGGCGCTGCGCCGCTGCTACCATGCCCTGAAGGGGTGGTGGGGTGGGAAAGGGGTTGACGTGACACGTCTTTAGGATGTGCAGCCATCCGCCCTCGCCCAAACGTTGCAGGGCACATGGGCATGCGCTAGCATTGCATGTTGGGTGGGGTGGGTCGGGAGGGGGGAGAGAGAGTTCTCAAGGGGTTGAAAGGGGAGAGGGGAGGGAGGGGCATGGCGTGTAGTGGAGAGGAACGAACGTGGGGGAGGTTTGCAAAGCGTGTAGCAATCAAGTGGGTGGCACGGCAGCAGGTGGCACGGCAGCAGGTGGCACGGCAGCAGCTGCATGGAAATGCACAACCCTAGCCTTCTGTTTTGATGGACACCCCTTTATTCGAAACAGCCCCCCCCCCCCCCCCCCCCTCCCCTCCCCCCACTTTGCTCTCCCCCTCTCGACTCGCATACGCGTGAACAGCTCTCCCTCCCTCCTCATGCACCCACTCACCGGCTGTTGCAGCCCCCCTCCCCGCTCCACCGGCAGCGCACGGAGGGAGGTGAAGAGGGCAGCGAGGAGGGGTTTAGAAGAAGCAGCGGTGGGAGGCACAGAGGGTCCAGCGGTGGGAGGCACAGAGGGTCCAGCGGAGAGAGGCGGGGCAGAGGGCTTACTGGTCGCTACATACCCTCCACTCCCCTCCTTACCCCACTCACACTCACACTCACCCGCTGCTGCACGCCCCCTCCCCGCTCCACTGGTAAAGCCCCGAGGGAGGTGAAGAAAGCAGAGAGGAGCGGAGAGGAGAAGCAGCGGTCGGTGGCACAGAGGGTCCAGCGGAGGGCGGAGGGTGGGGAGAGCATGAGGGATGGCGGCACGACTGCTGCCATGACTAGAGGGTCGTCCATTGCTGCCACGTGATTGGCCACCTGGCAAGGAGGGGAGGGGAGAGATAGGAGGATGTGGGGAAGAGAGGAGGGGCGCAGAGAGGAGGGGCGCAGAGAGGAGGGTGGGGTTGCATGAGAGATGGTGGCAACACTGCTGCCATGATTACAGGGTCGTCTGTTGCTGCTACGTGATTGGGCACCTGGTGGGTAGCGGAATGAAAAGATGGAAGGGTAGGCGGGAAGAGATAGGAGGGTGTGAGGGAGAGATAGGAGGGTGTGAGGGAGAGATAGGAGGGTGTGAGGGAGAGATAGGAGGGTGTGAGGGAGAGATAGGAGGGTGTGAGGGAGAGATAGGAGGGTGTGAGGGAGAGATAGGAGGGTGTGAGGGAGAGATAGGAGGGTGTGAGGGAGAGATAGGAGGGTGTGAGGGAGAGATAGGAGGGTGTGAGGGAGAGATAGGAGGGTGTGAGGGAGAGATAGGAGGGTGTGAGGGAGAGATAGGAGGGTGTGAGGGAGAGCGTCATGCCTGATCACAAGAAAAACCGGCACACAGGGAGGCAAGGAAGCAGCGCACGGCACAGGGGGGCAGCAGCGCACACACGGGGGGGGGGGGGGGGGGGGGGGGGGGGGGGGGGCAGCAGTGGTACCGTGAGGAGGGGTGTGCCGGGGGGGCGGTGGGCGATGGCGTTGGTGAGCTTGTGCGCGTCTATCACCTGGTGGGGGGGGAAGGGGGGGTGTAGGCGGAGGGGGATGGGCGGACGGGCGTGGGGGAGGGGGGGGCGTGGGCGTGGGGTGGCGGATGCGCGTGTGGGAGTGGAGGAGGAACAGCGCGGCAGAGAGTTGGAGAAAAGAGGGAGCGAGTGGGAGGGGGGAACATAAGCCTGGAATAAGCAACCTTGGAACGAGCAACCTTGGAACGAGCAAAACAACTGATAGCGACCTAATGCAGAACGAGCAATACCTAAATGTCGAAAACAGAATGAATTCAAGTTGTCATGCTTGTTCATTGGTGTGCTATATTCGCCGTAACCTATTCGTTACGGTGCACCATGGATGGTGGGAGGGAGCAAGGCCAGCAGCAAAGCACAAGGCGGCAGTCACGCACATCAGCCCGCCTTGGTGCGGTTGAGCGCACCTCAGTGCGGTTGAGGCCGTGCATGAAGGCGTGTGACACGGCGCCCAGGGCGGGCAGCAGCACCGCCTGCGCCATGCGCACTGCCGCGCTCTGATCCTCCTCCCCTCCCCTAATCCCCCCACCAACGGCGCCTGCCCTCCTACCCATTGTGCGTCGCCCATCCCGCTCATCCTGCCCATAGGCTCCGCATCGCCTCTCTCCCCGATCTCGCCCGTCGCCGCTATCCCTGTTGCTGTCACCGCCTCTGCTCCTTCCGCATGTGCTCCATCCGCCGCATAAGTCACAAGCCCTGTGCTTCCCTCTGCAAACGCCGTGATTCGCGCCTTGAATTGCGCGAGCACGCTGTTTCCCTTAAACACGCGTACCGCCGCCAGCGACGAGGTCGCCGCAGCCGCCGCCGTCGCCATCGCCACCTTGCGGCCGCCGCCCGCCGCGACGGACGCTTGAAGGGAGCCGTATGGAGCAGATCCGTAACCGTTGTGGTAACCCGACGCGTACAACCCCTGCGCGCGACACTTGACGCGATTCTTCCATTCGCGAAGCCGTTCGCGAATGGTTACACGGTTCGTGTGGAGGTGGTGTTGATCCACACCACGTGGCGTAGAACGATTCGCTCTCTCCATGACACGAAAAGTGGAGAGGGAAGCAGCTAGTGGAAAAATCGCTGGTCGCGTGGCTAAATCGCGGATGGCGGCGAGCGTGGCGACTGAAGCTTGGAACGGCGGGCGGAGAGGAGTCTGTTTGGCAAGGCGCGGTAGGAGTCTGCAGACAAAGGCACTTTCAAACTAAGCGCTAGATGAGTGGCACATGGTGGCAAGATGAGTTTCCAAGAATTCTACCGAGGGAAACTGCTTTCGTTAGGTTATGCTTTAGAAGAGAGTGACAGCTGTGTGTGTTTGAAGTGAGGGGGATGACAAAAAAATACACCAAGCAAAAAAGTGTTTTGAGCATTTATACATAGTTTCAATAGTTGACCACTTGTACTGCCGGACGGGTCGCGCTCGTCTGCAACCCGAGCGGGGGCCAAATCTTGGAATTGTCGTACACCTACGAGACCCTTGGCCTGCCACATCGGTGTCTCGTCCGCTCCAAGCTGAGAGTCCGCAGCGCTATCTATCCGGAAGGGTTAAAGCAGCAGTATACATTTGGCAGCACTGTTGTTTCTGTACAGTGTGCCAGGCGATTTCGCCTCAACGAAAATGTAAACAGAATAGCGAGAGTGTTGGCGAAAAACTGGAGCACTTCCGTTGTAAGACGAGCAGGGTTGGGTAGGTTGTGGGTCACAAAATGGGAAACACCTCCCGTCACCGAACTTGCCACATCACACACTACGGGGAATACGCATCTAGTAGCTACTAGTTTAGGTACTAGGCAGCAGGCCGGAGGGTGCTAGGCCAGCAGCGCGACCACATACATAGACGCGGGTGAGTATTTAGCCGTGTGCAGAACAGGCGACGCCTGCGAGCGTCACTAGCGCCAGCGATGGTGGCACTCCGTGTGTGTCGTGTCATTCCGCGCGCGTCACTGGCGCCAGCAATGATAGCATTCCGTTAGCGGGACTTGCGCCAGTTACGCTATCATTCCGCGCGCAACACTTGCGCGCGCTGTGCTGGCATCCGCGCGCGGCACTTGTGCGCGCTATGCTGGCATTCCGCGCGCGCTAGCATAGCGCGCTCAGCAGAGCTGCGCTTGCCAGCAAAACGCGCGCCGCAAAGCGGCACCTGCATACCGCGCGGCGCGCCAGCACAGCGAGCGCATGTGACGCTTAGATGCCCCAGCAAACAGCACGCGGTTGCAAGCACGCGCTCTCCAGCGAAATTCAGTCTAGAAGCGCGCGCGAGCCAGCCATCCTACTGCAGCCACCAGTAACGCGCTGCTCGCCTCACGGATTCTCCAATACACGAAATGCGAAAGGCCGCGTCCACACGTTTGGACTCATTTCCGCCCCTGCTTCCCCTCATTTCCGCCCCTGCTTCCCCTCATTTCCGCCCCTGCTTCCCCTCCTTTCCCCCCACGCATCCCCTCATTTCCGCCCCTGCTTCCCCTCATTTCCGCCCCTGCTTCCCCTCCTTTCCCCCCACGCATCCCCTCATTTCCGCCCCTGCTTCCCCTCATTTCCGCCCCTGCTTCCCCTCCTTTCCCCCCACGCATCCCCTCATTTCCGCCCCTGCTTCCCTCATTTCCGCCCCTGCATCCCCTCATTTCCGCCCCTGCTTCCCCTCCTTTCCCCCCACGCATCCCCTCATTTCCGTCCCTGCATCCCCTCATTGCCACCCCTGCTTCCCCTCCTTTCCCCCCACGCATCCCCTCATTTCCGCCCCTGCTTCCCCTCCTTTCCCCCCACGAATCCCCTCAATTCCCCCCTGCCTCCCCTCCTTTCCCCCCTTGCTTCCCCTCCTTTCCCCCACTTATTCCCCTCCTTTCCCCCACTGCTTCCCCTCCTTTCCCCACTGCTTCCCCTCCTTTCCCCCACTTATTCCCCTCCTTTCCCCCACTGCTTCCCCTCCTTTCCCCCACTGCTTCCCCTCCTTTCCTCCACTTCTCTGCCTCGCCTTTCCCCCCCGTACTTCCCCTGCTTTCCCCCGCCGATTCCCCTCCTTTCCTCTCCCCTCCTTCCCCCCGTTTCCCCCACTGCTTCCTCTCCTTTCCCCCACTGCTTCCCCTCCTTTTCCCCCCTCTCTGCATCGCCTTTCCCCCCGTGCTTCCCCTCCTTTCCCCCCTCCCCCCCCGTTTCCACCACTGCATCCCCTCCTTTCGCTCCCTTCCCTTGCTTACCCTCCCTCCCTCCCCCTACCTACTGTTTCCACTTTCCACCTCCAGTATCGTACTACCACCCACGTTTCCCAGTAACCCTCTCCGCATCCCTTCTCACCCCATCCTTTCCTCTCCGCATCCCTTCTCACCCCATCCTTTCCTCTCCGCATCCCTCCTCACCCCATCCTTTCCTCTCCGCATCCCTCCACACTCCATCTATCCTCTCAGCATCCTTTCTCTCCCCATCCCTCCTTGCCACCATCCCCTCAGGTTTTGTGGCGCTGTGTCCAGGAAAGGCGACCTGCTGCGTGCACTCTTTGCTTAGTTACTAGTATGCATGGATTGCCTCTCTGCTTTTACTCGTGACCACTGCTTTGTTTACATACTGTGTTATGGTAGGGAACATGCTACAAAGAGTGTTGAAGTCAGCAACCTGTAATGATGTCACAAAGCACTACGTTCAATAACCAGTTGGTAAAAACACAAACATGAGTTTGATGGCACGATGTGTTGGGTCAGTAAGAAATACCTAAAAGGGGAAAAGAGGCCGTGTTTATGTGCTAATGTTCAAGGCGGAAGATTGAATACTTGGATCGTATAAGGACAGGCCGATTGACCGAGAGGCTTGAAGCTGCTTTGCTCGTAGCCGTTGCCATGCTCCCCTGCCATTCCCATTGCAATCGCAGCCTATCCAAGCCCAGGTTGCAGGCTGTTATGTGCCCTGTGAGGCGTAGGATGTGCAGTCAGGAAAGCACCCCACCTGCAACACAAGCACAGAAATCGAGCAAGGGAATACAATGTGAGGGCTGTAGGAGGTCAGATTCAACTAAGAAAGAAACACATAAGTGTGGGGGACCTGGAGGGGCAGGGTGTGAGCAGAGCGCCCTTGGTAGAGGAGGGGGTAAGAAGAGGTAGGAGAGGGGAGGTGAGAAGAATGCCTTTGGTAGGGGGATGGGAGGTGAGCAAAGAGTGCCTGATAGGGCCAGGAGAGGTGGTAGGGGAGGGGAGATGAGAAGGGAGTAGGTGGTAGGGGAAGGGGAGGTCAGATGGGAGTATGTCGTATGTGGTAGGGGGAGGGGAGGGAGCAACGATGTGAGTAGGTGGTATGGGGAGGCGTGGTGGGCTGAAATCCCGTGGTAAGGGGGGGGGAAAGGGGAGGTGAGATTGGAGTAGGTGGTAGTAGGGGAGGGGAGGTGAGATGGGAGTAGGTGGGGGGTAGGTGGGAGATGCATGTTGAAATTTCCCATGGCAATGCCGCTGTTGCTTGGGAGGTGACGACAAGAGAATCGAAAGGGGCTTGGTTACAGGTTTAGCGGAAGGGAAGGATGGCAGTGAGGATTGCAAGAGGAGAGAATGGCTGGAGGAGTGCGTAAGGAAGGAAGGATGGGGGACAGGAAGGCAGGGAGAGAAGGGAGGGAAGGGAGGGCAGGGAGAGAGGGAGGGAAGAGGAGTGAAGGGCGAGGAAGGGAGACACGGGAGAGAAGGGAGAGAAAGGAGGGAACGGAGAGACTTCTATCGAAGGGAGAGAAGGGAGGGAAGGTAGTCAAGGGAGGCAAGGGATGAAAGGGAGTGAAAGGAGAAGCAGGAGAGATGTCGGGAGGGAGAGACGAGGAAGGGTAGGGATGAAATGGAAGGTAACGGAGATACTGTGGGGGGGAGGAGAAGGGCGAGAAGGGAGCGAAGGTATTGAGGGAGAGAAGGGCGGGAAGGGAGGGACGGGAGGGACGGGAGGGACGGGAGGGACGGGAGGGACGGGAGAGAAGGGAGAGAAAGGAGAGACAGGAGATTGCATGGAGGGATGAGAGGGAAGGGAGAAAAGGGAGAGAAGGTAAGGGGGGAGAGAAGGGCGGGAAGGCAAGGGAGGGAAGGAGGGAAGCGAGGGATGGAGAAAAGGGAGGGAAAGGAGAGATGGGAGAGGAGGAGAGAAGGGAGGGAAGGGAGAGACGGAAGATTGGAAGTCGGGATGAGGGAAGGGAGAAAATGGAGAGAAGGGAGGGATTGGAGGAAGGGAGGAAGGGAGGGAAGGGAGGGAAGGGAGGGACGGGGAGAAGAGAGAGAAGAGAGAGAGAAGGGAGAGACAGGAGATTGCAAGGACGGATGATAGGGAAGGAAGAAAAGGGAGAGAAGGTAAGGGGGGAGGGGGGAGAGAAGGGGGGAAGGGAGAGAAGGAGGGAAGGAAGGGAAGGGAGGGAAGGAGGGAAGCGAGGGATGGGAGAGAAGGGAGGGAAAGGAGAGATGGGAGAGCAGGGAGAGAAGGGAGGGAAGGGAGGGAAGCGAGGGAAGGGAGACAGGGAGGGAAGGGAGAGACTGGAGAGAAGGGAGGGATTGGAGGGAAAGGAGGGAAGGGAGGGAAGGGAGAGAAGGGAGGGAAGGGAGAGAAGGGAGGGAAGGGAGAGAAGGGAGGGAAGGGAGAGAAGGGAGGGAAGGGAGAGAAGGGAGGGAAGGGAGAGAAGGGATGGAAGGGAGAGAAGGGAGGGAGGAGGAGAGAAGGGATGGAAAGGAGAGAAGGGAGGGAAGGGAGAGAAGGGATGGAAGGGAGAGAAGGAAGGGAAGGGGGGGTCGGGCGACGGACAGGGGAAAAGGGAGGCGGCGGGCGTTCCGAATCGGGCAGCGTGACTGGGGTTTCATGGCGGCGGGAAAGGGAAATCGGGCGCCGGGAAGGGGGATTAGGCGACGGGAAAGAGGAACTTTGCGTCGGCGAAGGGAAATCGGGCCGCAGGAAAGGGAATGGCTAAGGCGTTCTCACTTTGATGCGGAATGCTCCGTGTATCAGGCGCCGAAAAATAAACAATGGCTCTGTCGGCGTATGACCTATGCGTGAGAAGAGCTATAATCGCAATGGCTTGCACCGCTTTTGGAAGTTACCTTTTTAGTGCTGAGTAAGGACGCCGTGGGTGTGGGCATAGTGGCGAGGAGGTATGTCCTTCAGTATACTTTTGGCTAGGTATAAACTTTTGACGAGTGAGTCAGGTGACTGGGGTTGGGTTTGGACTTGTCGCTGTGTCTGAAGTCGAGGGACCCTGTAATTTGGACCTTTTATAAACTTTTGGACTTTCCCCTGGCAAATGTATACCGCCGCTTTAAGTGACGTGGTGGTTAGAGAGGGGGCACCGCGTGAGGCGGGAAACCGAGCAGCGAAATTCCCCGCTCCCAGCAGTGGAGGGATAGCGAGGCTGAGTGCGCGGCGAAGGTCACCCTCGCAGGCTCGTGCCACGAGACCATTCCCAACCCTTTTGCATTCCTTGATTATCCCACCCCCTTATCCCACTCCCCCTTCCCGCCCCCGTTTCCCCACCCGCGTTTTCCCACCCCAACCTCCTACTACCACCCTTGCCCTACCACTTTTCGCCTGTTCCATCATTCTCTCCCGCAACTTTTTCTGCCACATCCTTTTCCCACCCCGCTTTCTCCACACCCAGCACACTTCAAATTGCGACATTCAGTCCTCTTCGTTGCTGCCTCTCATCGCCTATTCTAGTCAGGCCACATACAAGCATGGCTCATGATGTCGCCGCTGCTCGTTTCGCTCATAAGCGCGTCCGCTTAGAAATGCCATACTGTGATTCAGGTGAGAGAAATCATGCTGCAGGGGCCAGTCGTATCAAATTATCGTCGCGCCAACGTCGCGCCGCGCCGGCGCGATTGACTCCCATGGCCGCCACGATCACAATCAAAATCACGAGTACAATCATTTGAGCAGCAGCAGCGTCGAGAACGAGCAGTGGCGGAGAGCGCAGGTGCGCGGAATGCTGTGCGCGCCCATTGCGCGCGCGTGCGTTGTGTCCGCTGACCACCTCGTCGTCACTGCCTGCCTTCCCCCGTGCTCCCCGCCACCTGTTTCCCCCCATGCCGCCACGTTTGCTGGCCCCCATGCTACCATAGCGACGCATCCGCATGCCTCCACGCGGCCACCTTTCAGCAGCACAGCGCAGCGCAGCAGTCGCACTGGCAGCAGCAGCCGAATGAGCGTGAAAGAGAGGGGGGGAAATATGAGGGTCGGAGGAGGCGAGAGGAGGGCGAGCAGCGCCTCACTGGCTGCGCTGCCAGCCACCTGCCATCGCGGTAGCGCCGGGTGTGGGAAGTGACGTGGAGAGGTGGGGCATGGTGTGTACGCGCCACGTGGTGAGTGGGCGGCAGGTGCATGTGTTCGTGTACATGCATCCCACCATCCATCCCAGCACCCACCCCACCATGCAAAGCATGCGACTGCCATGCCCCATCCTCATGGGCGTGTCAGTGGGGGCGGCCTTTTCTCTCCGCGTCGCTCTTCTGCTGCCCACCACACCCGCCTCGGCTGACAGGTAGCACCTGCCTCCCATTGCACCTGCCTCCCATTGCACCTCCCATTGCACCTGCCTCCCATTGCACCTACCCCTACACCTCTCGGGGCTCTCGTCTGCATTTCGTCCCTTGGCTGGCTGGCTGGCTGGCTGGCTGGCTGTGTGCTACCCGTGCAGCGAAAGCCATGCTGCCTTGCTGTGCTACCCTCTCACTTGCACTACCTCGGCTTGCTGTCACCACCACGATACTATCCCGTGCTCTTCTCCTTGTTGACTTGCGCTTCGCTGTGTCACATCTGTCACCAGCACAAGGGATGGCACCACTGCTGCGCTGCCAGCACAAGGGATGGCACCACCTGCTGGAGTGTCGGCGCAAGCAAGTGCAGCCCCACCTGCTGCCATGCCATGGAGTGATGCGGCATGGAGTGATGCGGCATGGAGTGATGCGGCATGGAGTGATGCGGCATGGAGTGATGCGGCATGGAGTGATGCGCCATGGAGTGATGCGCCATGGAGTGATGCGCCATGGAGTGATGCGGCATGGAGTGATGCGGCATGGAGTGATGCGGCATGGAGTGATGCGCCATGGAGTGATGCGCCATGGAGTGATGCGGCATGGAGTGATGCGCCATGGAGTGATGCGGCATGGAGTGATGCGGCATGGAGTGATGCGCCATGGAGTGATGCGCCATGGAGTGATGCGCCATGGAGTGATGCGCCATGGAGTGATGCGCCATGGAGTGATGCGCCATGGAGTGATGCGCCATGGAGTGATGCGGCATGGAGTGATGCGCCATGGAGTGATGCGCCATGGAGTGATGCGGCATGGAGTGATGCGCCATGGAGTGATGCGCCATGGAGTGATGCGCCATGGAGTGATGCGCCATGGAGTGATGCGCCATGGAGTGATGCGCCATGGAGTGATGCGGCATGGAGTGATGCGGCATGGAGTGATGCGCCATGGAGTGATGCGCCATGGAGTGATGCGCCATGGAGTGATGCGCCATGGAGTGATGCGCCATGGAGTGATGCGGCATGGAGTGATGCGGCATGGAGTGATGCGCCATGGAGTGATGCGCCATGGAGTGATGCGCCATGGAGTGATGCGGCATGGAGTGATGCGCCATGGAGTGATGCGGCATGGAGTGATGCGGCATGGAGTGATGCGCCATGGAGTGATGCGCCATGGAGTGATGCGCCATGGAGTGATGCGGCATGGAGTGATGCGCCATGGAGTGATGCGGCATGGAGTGATGCGGCATGGAGTGATGCGCCATGGAGTGATGCGCCATGGAGTGATGCGCCATGGAGTGATGCGCCATGGAGTGATGCGCCATGGAGTGATGCGGCATGGAGTGATGCGCCATGGAGTGATGCGCCATGGAGTGATGCGGCATGGAGTGATGCGCCATGGAGTGATGCGCCATGGAGTGATGCGCCATGGAGTGATGCGGCATGGAGTGATGCGCCATGGAGTGATGCGCCATGGAGTGATGCGCCATGGAGTGATGCGCCATGGAGTGATGCGCCATGGAGTGATGCGCCATGGAGTGATGCGCCATGGAGTGATGCGGCACGCAGCAGCAAGGGCGGTGAGGGCAGAGGCGGTGAGGGCAGAGGCGGTGAGGGCAGAGGCGGTGAGGGCAGAGGCGGTGAGGGCAGAGGCGGTGAGGGCAGAGGCGGTGAGGGCAGAGGCGGTGAGGGCAGAGGCGGTGAGGGCAGAGGCGGTGAGGGCAGAGGCGGTGAGGGCAGAGGCGGTGAGGGCAGAGGCAGTGAGGGCAGAGGCGGTGAGGGCAGAGGCGGTGAGGGGCGGCATGCAGGGCAAGAGGTGGTGCGACTGCGGATGGTCGCTTGCTCCCACATGCTCCTGCTGTCGACTGCTGCTCCTCCTGCGCCGCTTCTGCCACCCCTCCTCCCCCTCATCCCACTGCTGTCAAGCATGCTCCGCCCAAACCCCACGCACTACACTCTGCCACGAGTGCACCCGTGCCAGCTCCCGTGCCTGTTCCCATGCCTGCCCCCGTGCCTGCCCCCATGCCTGTCCCCGTGCCTGCCCCCATGCCTGCCCCCGTGCCTGCCCCCGTGCCTGCCCCCATGCCTGCCCCGTGCCTGCCCCCGTGCCTGCCCCCGTGCCTGCCCCCATGCCTGCCCCTGTGCCCGTGCCTGCCCCCGTGCCTGCCCCCGTGCCTGCCCCTGTGCCCGTGCCTGCTCCCGTGCCTGCTCCCGTGCCTGCCCCCGTGCCTGCCCCCGTGCCTGCTCCCGTGCCTGCTCCCGTGCCTGCCCCCGTGCCTGCCCCCGTGCCTGCCCCCGTGCCTGCCCCCGTGCCTGCCCCCGTGCCTGCTCCCACATCTGCATCCATGCCTGCTGCAGCAGCAACAGAGGCAGGAGTGGGAGGGAGTGGGGATGGAGAGAGGTGTGGTAGGTATTGGGTGGACGAGAGATTCCGTGGTGGCGTGGGTGGTAGAGGAGAGGAACGGGTGCGGGAGAGATGGCGCAGTGGCGCAGGGAAGGGGGGGAATCGGGGGAATCGCGACAGGTAGTGCAGCTTCATTGGCGCACGGACGTAGCAGTGGGGAGGAAGCAGTGGGGAGGAAGCAGTGGGGAGGAAGCAGTGGGGAGGAAGCAGTGGGGAGGAAAGACAGAGGGAGATGGGTGGGGTGGGGTGGGTGGAAGATGGGTTGGAGATGGGTGGGAGTGGGCGATGGTTGAGAGTGGTTAATGGCGGTGGTGCATGGAGTGTGTGGCGTTGTGTTGGAGCCGTGTGGGTACACATCATGACTTACACCCTCCCCCTCCACCCTCTCCCTGTTTATCGTTGCACCCTCCTTCCCCCAGCTACCAGCAGTGCACCCCGTTCGCCTGCTGTTTTTCCAACATCCCCTCGTTTCCACATTCCATCCCTCCCCCACATTCCTTTCCACATCACGCACTGCGTGCGTCTGCTGCCTGTGTACCCCTCATCTACCCCTTTGTCAACCCCCTCCGTTGTCTCCCCTCCCCCCTCTTGTTCGTTCCACCCCCCTCCCCTCCCCAGCTATCAGCAGTGCATTCCGTCCGCCTGCTGCCTGCCTGCCCCCTTAACTTGTCGCTGTCAGCGCGCGTGTGTGAGGGAAGGAGGCCCTGCCCGGCCCCGCGCACAGTCTTGGGCAGCAGCAGGCAGGCGACAGCAGGGAGCAGTGGAGGATAAGAGGGGTGTGAGAGGGTGGAGGGCGGAGGGGGTAGACCGGTTGGACATGGAGCAGAGGAAGATGATGGAAGTGAGAGCGGCGGTGAGAGCGGCGGTGAGAGCGGCGGTGGATTGCACGAGAGAGAGGATGGGGAAGAGGCGGTTGGTTGTGGGGTCGAAAGGGAGGGAGCGGAAGATGGTAAGATGGAGGAAGAGGAGGAAGAAGGGAACACACAGGGCGAGGAAGAAGGGAACACACAGGGTGAGGAAGAAGGGAACACACAGGGCGAGGAAGAAGGGAACACACAGGGTGAGGAAGAAGGAAGGGGAGACGAGGGAGAGGCAGAAGGGCGTTCAGCAGATGAGGGGATGGGGGGGGAAGTGTGAGGGGGAGCGTGCGGGTGGGCGGAAGGGTTGGTGGGCGAGCGCATGTGCTTGAGGGGATGAAGAAGGAGGAGTGTGGGGGAGAGAAGGGTGTGGTGTGGTGGAGGGTGCTGGAAGGTGGGTCTGGGAGGTGGGGGGATGAGATGTGACGACACACGGGAAGAGTGTGAGAGAGTGAATGGTGCGAGCATGGAAGGACGTGGTGAGAGTGATGAGCATTTGGAGGTGAGCGAGAGAGAAGGGAGGGGGAGGGAGGGGGAGGGGAAAGGGACGGCAGAGAGCAGTGGGTTGAGTAGTGCATCGTGGAGGGAATGGTGGAGCAGTTGAGGCAAGGCGAGTGGAGGCAAGGCGAGTGGAGGCAAGGCGAGTGGAGGCAAGGCGAGTGGAGACGACGAGTGGTTGGAAGGCGATGATGGGGGGCAGAGGCGTGGAGGGAGGGAGTGGATGGGATGCCGAGGAGGACCGCAGATGACCTTTCTGCACGAGGAGAGGGACCGCAGCAGCAGCAGGGTGGCCAGCAGGGGGGCCAGCAGGGGGGGCAGCAGGGTGGCAGCAGGGGAGGCAGCAGGGGAAGGTAGCTGAGGGTGTGTGTGGCGTGTGGGTGCGGCACTGAAAGGCACGGCGTGCTGCTGGCTCCACTCATCTGCTCCCTCGGGAACTAACGTCCTGCTGCCGCCCCTCACTCTTCGCTTTCCACACCCTGCTGCTGCAGCATGTCAGCACTATTTCAGCTCAAGATTATCGTTACTTCTTCCATCTGCCCTTCTGCTTGTCCATGCCTCATAACATCTACTTTCCCTCATTTCTCAATCGCACCTCCCCTCCTCCATTGTCTTTTCCCTCTACGCCATGGACTTTTCTCGTTACCTCTTCAATGTTTCCCCTCCGCCCCATCATCTCTCCCTCCGCCCCATCATCTCTCCCTCCGCCCCATCATCTCTCCCTCCGCCCCATCATCTCTCCACACATCCCTTGCACGCCCGTTTTGCGGTGCATCACCCCTTTCCTCCGCCCTTACTTTCCCCTCCCCACCACCCCCCAGACGGAGAGGAGGGGAGGGGAACAGGTAGAAGGGAGGGGAGTGGTGAGAGGAAGAGGGGTGTATTTTATGTGGAGAGTGAGGGAGAGGAGGATGAGAGGGCGGAGAAGAGGGGAAAGGAGAGGGAGAGGGCGGAGGGAGCGGCGGCAGGGAGAGGATCACTGGATGTGCAGGTGGTATGTGGAGGGATGGGCGTGACTGGGGCAGTGGGATCAGCTGTAAATGCGATCAGCTGTAAATGCGATCAGCTGTAAATGCGATTAGCTGTAAATGCGATCAGCTGTAAATGCGATCAGCTGTAAATGCGATCAGCTGTAAATGCGATCAACTGCAAATGCTATCAGCTGTAAATATGATCAGCTGTAAATGCGAATGTACAAGATGGGGCAAACGTGCGGACAAGCATGGCAGCGAGGGCGCATGCGTGCTTGCTTTCAAATGCCACCAGCTGTGCGGCTGACACATTGGATGGGAGGGAGGTGGAGGGGAGGGAGGAGGGTAGGGAGGTGGAGGGGAGGGAGGAGAGTAGGGAGGTGGAGGGAAAGGAGAAGGGGAGGAGGGTGGAGGCAGGGGAGGTGCGAGCAGGGGAGGTGGGAGGGTGGGAGACGGGAGGGCGGGAGACGGGAGGTGAGGGGGGCTCTGCAGCTTCTGGGAGGCTTTAAGTTGGCAGCCTTTTATAAAGCATGCAATCCGCCATCGCCCAGGATACCTAGTAAGCTCCCTGTGTGCCTCTGAGCTTCGTCAAGCTCCGGGCTATGTTCTCCCCTGTTCTTCTCTCTCCCTTGTGCTTCACTCTCCTTGTGCTTCACTCTCCCTGTGCTTCTCTCCCCTGTGCTTCTCTCTCCCTGTGCTTCTCTCTCCCTGTGCTTCTCTTGTCAGAGGTCCACTGGTGATCCCCGATTGATCCTAGGGAAGGGTTACAGGCATGGCGGCCTGGGGGGTTATGGGCGCACTCACCCGCTACACAAACAAGCCCTTTTATCCCAGTGGTTAGTGGCTGGGATTCTGACATGGTATCAGAGCGAAGGTCTCGGGTTCGAATCCCGGTGTGTGCACCTCGGGCATCCCAGTGCAGGGGGGTGTCAGAGGTCCACTGGTGATCCCCGATTGATCCTAGGGAAGGGTTACAGGCATGGCAGCCTGGGGGGTTATGGGCGCACTCACCCGCTACACAAACAAGCCCTTTTATCCCAGTGGTTAGTGGCTGGGATTTTGACATCTCTCTGTCAAACATATATGCTGCATATTGTCTAGGCTGTAGTGGGGTAGCCTATATGGGGTACAACCCAATTAGGGTTTACTACTTGTACTCCTGCATGCTGTTAGTTCATCATTCCTGCCTGTGATTTCAACATGGTTTCAGAGCAGTAGGTCCGTAGGACCGTCTTTTTTTTCGGGCCCACCTACCGCTACCCCACGCCTTTGCCTGTCACTGTACCTAGGACGTGCTGCACTGCACGCACTGTCTGCCTACTGTCTACTGTCTGCTGCTGCTTCGCGCACAACCCTAATTTTCACTCACTGCCTCGTTTTTACCCCCGCGGGTCGCCCTCTCCTGCCCGAATCGCGCCTCGGCAGCCGAGTCGCGTCCCGCGCACGGTCCCGCGCAGCCCGTCCCGAGCACGCGCGGCTCGCGCGCGGCCCGCAGCTGCCCCGCGCAGCCCGTCCCGAGCACGCGCGACGCGCGCGCGGCCCGCAGCTGCCCCGCGCAGCCCGTCCCGAGCCCGCACGACGCGCGCGCGGCCCGCTGCTGCCCCGTGCAGCTCGCCCCAAGCCCGCGCGGCGCGTCCGCGGCCCGCAGCGCGCTGCGCGCCGTCCGCGCGGCCCGCGCCGCGCCCTACCCGCCAGTCCGCGGCCCCCGGCAGCGGCTCGCGCCACCCTACCGCCGCCACGGCCCCACCCTGCCGCTGACACGGCCCTGCCCTGCCGCTGCCACGACCCGGCCCTGCCCTGCCGCTGCCACGACCCGGCCCTGCCCTGCCGCTGCCACGACCCGGCCCTGCCCTGCCGCTGACTCGATCCGGCCCTTCACTGTAGCCGCTGCCACGGCCCTGCTGTCGCCGCCGTCGTACGCCGACCCTGCCGCCGTCCGCCGAGCACCGGCCCTGCTCGCCCGGTGAGAGCCTGCTCTTCCTGCCTGCCTGCCTGCCTGCCTGCCTGTCGTGCCTGCCCTGCTGCTACTCCTGCTGCTGCTGCTACTGGCCGAGGCCCAATGCAGCCCCAGCGACGTCCGCGTGAGTCCCTCACGCCCCAGCAGCTGCGTGAGTGGTAGGGGTGGCCGCGCTGCTACTGCTGCCACTACTGCTGCTGCTGCTACTGGCAGGTGGCCAGATGCAGCTCCAGCGTCGTCCACGCGAGTCTCGCACGCCCCAGCAGCTTCGTGAGTGGTACGCTCAGAGTAGAGGGTCTCTCAGTTCTGTTCGCTGCTCTTACGTCATTCGCACTGGTGCTCGGACTGGTCAGCCTTGCGGGACACCTAGTCACACACAGTCCCGCTGCTTCGCCCGTCTGAGCGACGCCTGGCGTACCGAGTTTGGCGACGGGGCTGAGCTCCCCGACTGGGTGGAGCTCCTTGGGCAGAGGGTAGATATCTTTGCTCTTGACTATGATGTTATTCTCACTGCCATGTATGCATTGCCTACTAGTGCTGACCGTGCCTGTTACCTGTGTGTACCGCCTGACCCAGGTATAGAGCCTCCTGCTCTAGGTGCTAGTGAGGCTGCTGCTCTAGGTGCTACTGCGTTTCTTGCTCTAGGTGCTAGTGAGGCTGCTGCTCTAGGTGCTACTGCGTCTCCTGCTCTAGGTGCTGGTGAGGCTGCTGCTCCAGGTCCTGGTGAGTCTGCCCTCTCTGGTACTGCGCCTGCTGCGGTCTTGCACACCTTCACCCTTGACTCAGGAGCTTCCCGCTCCTTCTTTCGCGACTGCACCACACTCACGCCGCTTAGTCAGCCGGTTGCAGTCTCCCTAGCAGACCCCTCCGGGGGCCCAGTCCTTGCCCACTACTCCACGGTTCTGCCGTGTCCGGCCGCCCCGTCTGGCTTGCTGTCAGGTCTCTACCTCCCCTCGTTCTCTACGAACCTGGTGAGTGGAGCTGACCTCCAGGATGGGGGGGTTGACCAGTTCACTCCTGCGCGTCAGCGGGTGACTCACTGTACGTGTGCTCGGACGGGCCGACACCTGGCCACGT